AAGTTACAGTACCGCGCCAAAATAATTTACTTATAATTCTCAATGAGAATTGATTGTAAATAGTCTACCAAATAAAAAAAAAATTTACACAGGTAAACGAATAGATGATAAATGTTTCATTAAGTGATACAGTGCTTGATAAAACATAAAAGTAAAATTTTTAAACAAATTTTACTGAACTATATAAAGAAATCTATATCAGAAAAAAATATTTTCATGTATATTTAAAGTTATCCATATATTTTATTTAAAAAGTTTTTAGTTTATAGCTAAAGTAATGATAAGAAATACTTATTTATCAATTTAAAATATGTATTTCATTACGTATTATCACAAAAAGGCAACGGTGGCAATGAAACAGATTTGGGGAATTGATCAAAAGAAATTCAAAGAGATTATAATAAAAAAATACGAATGTTCGATTGTCTATATACGGGACAGAAATCTGGGAATGGAAAGAATGGAACAGCATAGAAGCGGTACAAGATAAATACTTGAAATGGATCTTAGGATTTGATTGGAATACACCCAGATATGTAGCAAAAGAAGAAACTAAAAGAATGAAATTGAGAGTAGAGACATAAAGGAGAGCGGTGATATTCGAAGAAAAAATAAAATGGGAGTCTGACAATGAAATCCTAAAAGAATGTTTTGAAGGAGATAGAAAAATGACAAGATAAGAAGGCAAAATGGGAAGAAGAAAGGAAAAAGTATTATCAGAGAAATAGAATAGCAACGAAAGAAGTAAAGACGAAAAGCGAGGGAGGAATCAGTATAGCGATGGAAACGATAATGAGAAATGTATATATATATATATATATATAAGGATAATGGTAATTCAATAAAATACAAGGATTGTAATATGATAAATGATATAAGGAATTGCGCGCGGTTGGATTGCCAAGATACTTAACGGAAAGAGAAAGTAAAGCAGAAAAGAAGCAAAAGATCATAGCAAGGTTTAGATACGGGAATGGGGAACTAGACAACAAATATTAAGAATCGAAATAAAATGAAACATGCAGATTTTGTGAAAAAGAATGTGAAACAGTGGAATATGTAACGAGGAGATACAAGAAATTAGGAAATTACGAATCTGGGAAGGCATACACATGGACGGAGGTATCTACCGAAAAAAAAGAAAAAAAAATTTGCAATTCAAGGGAGCAAAGGGAGGGAAATAATCATGAGCAAGGAACCACGCTAGAAAGCAGACATAGGACAACAACGAAAAATATAGTAAATAAATGTTATCAAAATATAGTATAACAAGAAGTAAATGTAAGATGTATGTAGAACACATTGTATCCCTTGCAATGGCGAAAGGCAAGCAATAACATTTTACATTACGTATTAACAGAAAGAAAATTTAGCTACACGTTAAAATTTACAGCGCGGTAAAATTTATATAAAAATGCAAGATTTTTATATATTTAAGAATTAGTTTCATAAAATGAAAGTAAAAGATAGTATATTAGAATAAACACCAATCTTCAATAAATATGAAAACAAATAAGTTTTTAGTAAATAAAAGGTTTTATTTATCGTATTTAATTTATTTATATTTATAAAACATATTTTAAGAAGCATAAATGGTATTAATTTTACTTCACAGTTCTTTATAAACAATACAGATTTTATTGTTATTCCACATTATACGTTTATATAAATATGCTTACATACGTGTAACTGATTTTAAGCCTAGTATCGAAAAACATTTTTCCATTATAATTGCAGTAGCTTCTGTTAATAAAATACGGCCGATATTCACGTTCACTATCTCCCCAAGTTCGTTTTTTTCAACGCAATAACAGTTATCATAAAATTCCGAAAAAGCGCATGAAATCTCGTAACAATACTCGCAGAGGTGATGCAAATATAAATTGTTTGTAATTTTTATTAGTACATCAGGAAATTTAATTAATACTTTGGCTAACTTCCACTCCTTCTCGTGTTCTAGTGAAATTGGAGTATCCTCTGCTATTTTACGTAATTTTTCCTGCGAAATATTAGCAGCCCTTGCAATAGAACGTATTCTTGTTAAAGCATATAGCAAGTACACTGCAGTATTGCCTTTATCTTCCAACATTTTATCAAAAGAAAATACGTATTCGTGATTTCTGTTGTGCGATAAGTCTGCATACTTTATGCACCCATAAGCAATAGATTCTTGAGCAATTTTTAATTCTTCTTCCGTAAGTACTTTGTCACGTTCCTTTTCTATCAGTTTCTCTAATGCTCTCTTCAAACCTTAAATAATAAATAGGGATGTGAAAAAATTGTCCTAACTATAACATGATGAATATTTTATAAGGTTTCATAACTTTAGAAAGTAAATTACCTTCATCAAGTAAATCACTTAATTTTACTGTATCTCCAGATCTAGTTTTAAATTTCTTTTTATCATTGCCAAGAACTACACCAAATCCAACGTGGTCTATTCTATGACGACTTTCTATAATACTTGCTCGCTTAGCACAGTTCTTTAATACTTGAAAATGCATAGATTGACCAGCATCTGTTACATATATTACCTATATATAAATAGAATAGACACAGATATAAAAATAATATATTTTACTAAAATATAATATTGAAATATATGCAAAATATACCCAATCTGCTTTTTCTTCTTCTATACGTTGCTTAATAGCCGCCATGTCTGACGTATCATAAGTAAAACCACCATCGGATTTTACAATGGTCAGAGGAATTTCATTGTTCTCTTTGCTCCACATTACTTTTCGTCCTTCATCTTCTTCTAATAGCCCTTTCGCTTCTAAGTCTTTTACTATAGCTTCCATATGCTTTTGATAAAAAGATTCCCCTCTTTCTATCAACTTGATATCTAGACGAGTGTATATCTTCTCGAATTCTATATTTAAAACATAGGTATTTTACATTACAGTTATAAATATTCCAGTTTTTTAATTTTCGCTTCGATTGTTTTACCTTTTCTGGAAACATCACAAATTAGTTGCCATGCTTTTATCATATCAGAATCAAATGCTTGCAACTTAACAACACAGTTGTAAGCGCGCTTTTTAAATTCTTCATCTCCATCAAATCTCGTCTTTGATTCCTTATAAAAACTCTACAAATTTTATAATAATTTATTAAAATAGTTCTTTACAATTATAATATACATAGAGCTAATTGTAAAATAAAAATGTATTTAGAATTACTTGAAGATCCGTAATAGGTGGAGAGATAGATAAATAATCAGGGAACTTATCTTGAAGATGCGCTATCAACATTCCAAATTGAGTACCCCAGTCACCAATATGATTTATTCTCAATACATCGTGTCCTAAAAATTCTAACAATCTTGCGATGCTATCTCCAATTATGGTAGATCTTAAATGTCCAACATGCATTTCTTTAGCGATATTGGGACTAGAGAAATCTACAATTACTTTTTGTTTTTTTGTATATGGTGGAAATGCTTCCCCATTTTTTACTAATGTGTTTAAGGTTGATTGTGCAAATTCCCTTTTTAAATATATATTTATGAAACCTGCACCATTGACTTCCAACTTGGAGATTAAGCTTGATTCTTCCACTTTTGACATAATGTTCTTTGCAACATCTTGCGGCTTTGTTCGAATTTCTGTAAAAATATAAAAATAAGTATATCAATATACCCAATATATTCAAATTTAATATTGACATTATTATATATCAATATTTGTACGATGTCTCTTACCATTGTTATTGAGTTGTTTAGAAAGTGGCATGGCACTGTTACATTGGTAATCTCCAAATTTTGGATTATTACTAGATGTTATAATTACTGGAGGGTCACAAACATCAGGATATGCAACTGAGATTGCTTCCTTAAATAAATTAGATAGCGTATCATATATACTGATTACATTGTTCTCTGTCATTTTCAATTTGTTTCCTAACTTTGCTCTTTCAGCTTTGACAGTCTGTTAAGATCAAACAAGAATGGATCATTATTTTGTTCACAATAAAATGAAAGTCATAAAATTATTAGAAGTATTTTAGATAAAACAGACCCTCTTTAGGATAGCCACTCTGTATTTTAATTTAATATTTTCTTGTTCTAATTTTACATATTCATCTATAGGCACAGAATTTATCATAAAATTATTAGTTGTGACATTTTGTCGTAAAAATTCAATTTCTTTCCTTAAAAGAGCTATTTCTGTTTCCTGCAATGTACATATGTAAACTTTATAACCTATATAGTTAAATGACAACTTCAAAGATTACATTTCGCAAATTTTGTTAAATTCTTAAACAGCAAATACAAATCAATAATGTACTTTACCGCCTCGGTTGCTCTTTTGTGGAAATTTTCCAAATTTATGGTGGTCATTCTATTAAAAGTTTACTTTCGGAGATTTTACAAAAATAATGCACGTGGATCTTCCAAAAAATCTGATTTCACCGTTACTTAATCCAAAATTCGGAATCAGATCATATTAATAGTAAATTACAAATGTAAATAATATATAATATGAAATCAAATGTAAGAAAAAGATTTAAAAGATTTTCATAATTCTATGTATATAGAGATATCTGTGTACATGTGTACTTATTTAAATTATAGTTCATATAAATTAGCGGGTCTTCTTACAGAAAATATTTGCATAATTTTATTGTACAAAAATACAAATGTATTCAATAAAAAACTAAAAAGTCATTTAATTGACGACATATATATTAATTTTTTTCGGAAAAATACATTTAATCGATAAATAAACATAATTTACCTGCTAAAGAGCAGGAATTTTTCATAATTGCTTATGCAATATCTGTATAACTTTTAAGAAAAAAATTTGAAATTAATTTAAATGATAAAAAATATATTAATTTTTATTCAAAATTATACATGTAATGGAACGTGAATTAAAATAAAATGAATGGAATTACTAAAAAGATATAATTGTAAATTGTAAAATATTATAGGATGTAAAACAAAACAGATTTTGTTGACTAAATTACTTAAAAGGGTAGTTAAAGAAATAGAATTTCTTTTTATATCAATTATTTATTTTCCATACAAATTATAAACATGTTTTTCAAATACTGTACATATACTGAATTCTATTATATTTTTAAACCTCTAATTTAATGATATATCATTTCGTTCTTTATTTACTTGTTAAATCAACTACTTTGATCCTCGTTTCGTTTTATTTATGATAATATACAGGTAGATCCCATTCTTTCTGATCATTACTTCATTTAATCATTTTTATAATCAAGCTCAATTCTTTGATATGGCAGTTCCAGGATATGAAGAATATAAATTGCAAATAGATCAGTGAGTTTCCTATTTTTGTAAATAATTTAGCTATTATAAGAATCATAGTCGATGTTTTCATAGAGATAGTAATTTCGTAAAGTTAAAATTAAAAAAATTGAATTATTTTCAAATCAATATTTATTTAATACATTATCAATATTTATTTAAAAACATTAATATTTCGACTATTTTATTACTGTAATTTTTAATGACTAAACAAATTACCATAAACAAATAATTTTTACACACGAGTCTCTATGAAAATACTGACGAAAAACTACTACACCTTTTTTTAATTTCAAAAGATTTTACGGTTTACAATAAATGAATTTTTTGTTCTCGTCAAAGTATTTTATGCAGTACACAAAACGTAATCACTGGAACTTTTTCTTTTGATGATTTCTTTTTTATGTAAATATGTACAAAGATATTTAACAAATTTCGTCGGTTTGTCATCGATCGTATCATGTATTGTGTACAGTGCAAATCCTTTCATTTCCTTCCTAATCTACTTCTGCGTTTTTTATCTTTATGGATTTCAATTTTTTTCCTTTTTATCTGATATCATCAATATAGAGTGAGAGAGTGCTATTTTCTATCTTCACAGAAGACATAGATAAATATATATTTTTATAATCTTTCCTTATAAATGTAATTCGCTTATTTTAAAATCATTATTCGTTAATGTTAATAATATTAGTGTCGGTGCTTCTTTTTTGCGATTTCAAACTCCTCCCTTTTTTCCTCGTAATTTTCCTTTTTTGTTAAAGTAAAAATTCGCATAACCAAAACGATATTTGAGTATCTTCTAAATATATTGCATAATTCCTTGCTTTTTTAATAATAACGATTTATTTCGGGTCGAGTTAGAACCATCAAATGTTTCTTTATTTAATTAACATCAACAAATTCATTCTCATCGCAATGTATTATTATTTTCGTTTCATATTCTTCCATTTTATGTTTTTCTATATAAATACTCTTCAAATATTAATAATTATTAGTAACAAAAACTAACAATCAAATTTGAAATCAGTCACGATTTCCGAAATTATATTAATGGTTCCAACTCCGCCTTAATATAGACACAATTTAGCGCAAAATTACAATTTATAGATATAATACGTAAAAACGAATCTTACAATGAATTATTACAAAAAAAAGGTAACAATAAGTAAAAACTGCGAAAATTGTGAAAGCTGCCAGTTACTGAACGAAAGCCACATATATTATTATTTAAATATGTAAGTTCCTTCGTTATTCAGTCAATCACTTAGCGAATTTAATTCTCATCCCGAATAAAAAGTGACATATTTCTGACTAAAAGAGAGATCAAAATACATTGCCACTTGTTGCGTAAAAATTAATTAAAGTAAAGAATACAGTAAGTATTAATTATTTCCTTAAAAGTATACATAATTTGTTTCTGTATTATCTTAATATTCACTGCTCCATAGGCAAGTCCTGTTTCAGAACAAGGAATTGATCAGATTAAAGAATACGAAAAAAAGATTCCTGTGCATTCACAATATGTGTAGTCTCTGTGAGAGATGTGATTAAATAAAATTAACTGTAGGATTTTTAATATATGGTCCTCTACTCTTTTATGTGATCGTTACTGAAAAACAGAATCTGAATGTCAAACATTTCTGGTCCATACATCGAAATGATATTAAGTACGAAACATAAACAAGGTTTTGAATGAACTCTGTTGAAAGTGCGCTCAAATTTAGAGAGCTGCGATGAAGTCACGTTATTACGTAGTACTTGTTCATCAAAAAACTGGAGAATCACGCTCAAGGATCGGATTTTATTTTTATGCTCTTGAACTAATTTCAATGTTCTCCGATTGAAAAGCATTAAGATGATTGTATCACCAAGTTAGAGAGAAGAATATCTCTGTTCGATGGACGTCGTCCGTATCTAGTGCGCGCAATCGATAGAATCTGATGTACTCGCTTCAGTAAATGTGTAGTAGAAAGATAAAAACAAACGAAGTACGCTAAGTAAGAAAAGTCATTCGTGTAAGAACTATAGAAAGAGGAAAAGAACAAAAAAAGGAGAATAAGGAAGAAAGATTTTAGAGTAAGAAATAAAATGATTACAGGAAATACAAACACATCCCTCTAATCTAAATGTCGCTGCCTAAGAGTGGGTGGGTTTGCACAGCTGTAAGTGCGTTTATTAAAAGACTCTTCCAAAAAGTAAAAATCATTATTTTCTTTCATCTGATCATTGAGGATTAAAAAGCTTTGCAGCAAAAAATTCTTACCGTTAGTTGTAATACAGCTAAGAAAAAAAAGAAGAAAAAACAGTTCTACCAACAAAAAGCTTAAGAAAAGATCTGTTGTAATGATTACTCTTCAACCTTACTTGGTTGGATAATTAAAAAAAGAGAAAAAGAGAACTATAATGATAATTGTAAGCAAGGAAACTTAAGAAATCATAATGGCATTATCTCTCTATTCAACTTCCATTTCGTTTAAAACTTAGAAATCACTTAGATAACTTTATACACGATCATTTATAACAATGTAAATCGTAATCATTGCATTAATATTTAACATATATATTCTTATATGTAATATATGTATATCTGTGTGTGGATGTCTTGTCTGATCTATTTCCTAGTTTAATAATAAAACTATAATACTAAATTATGTTGGTACCACGCCTTTCCGAGATCAGAGTCTGTTTCTCATATTATTCTTATTTTTTATGTATTTTTTCTATTTTTTTCTCTTCTTCATTTTGGTATACATACACTATATATCCCCGACACGCATTTTTTTCCATACCAAATTTATTGTCGTTAATTTCAACTTAACTTTTATTATATCTCTTTTATTAAAATCGCGACAAATTCGATCGTTTGCAAGCGAATGACGGAATATTCATAAAATATATATATTTTATATATATATATATATATGATTATATCTGTTTTAATATAAAATTTACAATTTCGTCATCTGGAACGCGCTTCCTGCGGACCACAAGCAGGAAATCCTTTCCACGATACGTTAAAACACGCGTACCAATTCTTTTTGTTTTTAGTACAATTTCTTTCAGCTTTTTGAATCAAACTCAAGCTCGGGCTGGCCAGTACTTCGAACGTGTGAAGGTGTACATGTATCCCTGTATGTATGTGTAATATATTTATGTATCGTGTATTTCAAGTTCTCTTTAAGGAGTTTTATAGAAAATGTTCGGAAATACTGAACAAAACAACACCTAATTAGAATTAAAAATTACATGATAAGATTAAAAATCATGCAAAAAAAGTACATTTATACAACAATCGCCCAATCTACTTTCTGTTTGTAAAAATAAACATCGAATAAACACATGATTCTATATGTTTCATATATATTTTTTCCCTTCATTTAATAACAGAACATTTTCGATAGAAACTCTGTTATACATAGATGCGAAATGTATGTACTCATGTATAGTAAGAGCGTGTTTACAATCATGTATTCACGCTTAACCCCTTGAAGCGTACATTTTAATGACCTTCACAAAAATTTACAATTTAGAAAAAATGAGAAAATAAAATCTTAGAAATATTTACATATTTCATATGTAGGTGAATTAAAATCAAATTTTGGTATTCACACAATGCATGATATGAATATTATATTTATTCTACAAATATCATATTTATATCCCTGGTGAAGGATGAAAAAACGAATGTGGGATGAAATAAAAAGAACTTAATATTGGTGGTTGTATAAAATAACCATAACACTTTAAAGGGTTAACATTTTTATGTATAATCGTGTGTATGCGCGTATGGATGAATTTTTTTATGTGATGGTAGGCACTGATGGGGGTGGATGGCTGCATGGCGAGCAGGTTCAAGCAGGCTAATCCTTGATCAATCTGTATATGTGATGCTGTGCACCGTGCTCGGACGTCGACACCTCAAACACGTATGCTGTGCACAATAAAGTTTCCTGCGTATCCCTGTTCGTTACAACCTGCAATTTAAAATAAGAAATCAGAACATTTTGATACTTATAAAAAAAGAGGGTAGTAGATCGATTTTGCACATCGCTGCCGAAAGCTTAAACAACAATTTAGAACACACAGTGTGAACTCAGAATTGTTTCTTTCTGCTTTAGTACGTTTAATTTAAAATATATGTATATTAGATGTATTTAATTCTTCAATTGCGTATTTTTTCTGCTACAGTATATTTAATTTTTAGAAACAGCAGAAAGAGCACATAATTTAAAAATTAAATATACTCCATATTTTTACGTAAATTATTTACGTAAATTCTGTATAGCATAGAATTTTAGAAACAACATTTAGAAAAGTAAATAATTATGTATTACTTTATTTGAATAAGCAATTGATTTTTCTTCGAGTTATATTTTACTACTTAGCTGTGAAATATATTCTTATTATTATTATTGTTTAGCCCGTGCCTTTCGGCTTGGACGAACTTTCGGTTTTACATCTCTTATGTCTAATTTCCCTTCTTATATGTCTAGCTGTGAAATATAATAATTCCTTATTTTATTTAATATTTTGTATTTGAAGAAATATTTTCTGAAATAATATTTGAAATAATTCCTGATTCTACTATGGCAAAACTGTCAATTCCATTAAGCTGTAAAAAAGATTTACCTATATTGTCTATAACTCAAACATATGGAAAAAATATAAAAAATTTTAATTAATATTAAAATCAAAATTATTCGTTATTTTGTTTAAAGGAGTTAATTAAAATTATTATGTATTTGTACTTGGAAATGATTTATTTATTTAAAGTATGTAATAACAGATAATATTTTAAATTACTTCACACTTGTAGTCGATTAAGTGATTATGTACAGTAGCTACAAAATGTACAAATAGTACATACATATTTGTATATACCTTTATTTTTCAATAAAGCGTTTTTTATTAGGTTCTTAAGTACGAAATTTTTGTAATCATATGAAGTTACTACTAACAATAAGTGATACGAAATTTATTATAGTTTGACTGAATTAATAAGTATATAAATGCATTAATAATTGCAATGCTGCACAAATACTTTTTATAATTACTATACGTGTTTAAATAGCTAATTATCGAAACTATCAATTTTCAAAATTGTATATGTTGGGAAAAGAGAAAAATATTCTGGTAAGAAATTGCATATCATACCTGGAGAATGGTGAAATTCTCGAGAACGCTATTCATCATGTACTTTTCCGGCAGGTGCTTCAATTTATGTATAAAGTTGATCATATACTCGCACATAGGTGAACGGCTAATACGATAGACGAACCTGCCATTCTCGAACCTAGCATATTCTGTCTCCACTTTTTCCACCACCTGTTTTCCGAAAGAGCAGACTTTGGTCGAACACGTTATCGTCATGTTCTCGTTACTCTCGTACCTATAAAAAAACAAGTTTGACCAGTGCGGAAGATTCCTTTGGTAATTTTTGATAATTAATTAAAAATTATTTTGGAAAAAATGGAAAATTGGTCCCAATCTTTGATAAAATCTTTATTTGATGTTTATTCGTTCAAATACATTTTTTTTATCTTAGACATTTATAAAGATAATTACACATATATATACGCATTAGAGACTTTACTTCTGCTCGGTCAAACAACTTCAAACACGAAATGAGAGACCAATACTACCAACGTAACGATTGAATGTAAAATTGAGTAGAATCCAATGTATCCGTAATTCCGTAATTTAACGTATTGAAAGGAATTCCCGGAATTAATGTTACCGATTTATTCTGATTAGAGTAGATTTTGTGCAATTTTTCCATGAAATAGAGAATAAAATGAAAACAACAGCCGATGGTCGGTAATTAAATTTCAGAAAAAACATAAACCAAAATCACAGTACAAATCCAAGAAAAATATATCAAATAAAGCTTCGAATACTAATGGTTAAATTCAAATGGAAATTTATCAAAAAGTGTCATTTGAATCGTATTAGATCAAATTAAATTACGTAAAAAGAGAATTGAATGTTCTTTCTAAATTGTGTCAAAAGAACTATAAAAGGTGTATAAAAAAATCTTATATATTAGTTCATAAATGTCATTGCCGTCTAAGATTTAAGCTGTTTCCGTAGAATGCGTATAACTGTAATATTAATGAATTGTTTCATCTCTTAATGTCCTAATCTATGTTCTCATTGTATTTCTTTTATCATGTATACCTCAAATCTAATCATGGAAAAACACTTCCTTTTGTTTTACAAAAGATATTGCTTATTTCATTTAATGCGTGCTGCAAGAAAAATTAAAAGTTCCATTAAATGACAAACGGGACAATTAAAGACTCGCAATAAAAATTACATTCGCCTATATTTGTCTTCTTTTAGCGGAAACAAAAGATTATTTTAATTTATCTTAAATTTCTGTTCAAGGTATCTCAATTTTCAAAAAAGTTCAAATAATTTCATGAGCCATTATATGTCCTTAAAATTCTCTTATGTAACCATAAAGTGACATTAAAATCAAAAAATGAAAGAAATGTACCAACTTATTATGTTTTTATGAACTTCAATTAGTAAATTACCGTGGGAGACGACCCTGGTTTGTTTTAGATCTTTATTAATTAAGCATTTCATTACTTACTGGCTTGTTACGCCGTAGAAGGCTCCAGCCTCGTCCTGAATGTTCGTATTGAGATCAGCCCAGAATTTAACCAGGAAGAAGGCCGCCTGTGGTCCCTTGTCGTAAAGTTCCTTCAGGCCGCCCTTTTTTTCTGGGAACTTGTCATATATTTGTCTGACATCAACAGCCTCTAGCAATGGATCCGCGTAAGTCGCGGATCCTCCTATGTGGACGAACAGGTGCTTGTGGTACTGTAAAGGAAAAACACGGAAAAAAAACAATTCGAATTGTTCGTCGAGATGAAAGTGCGACTTTCGGTCAACAACGCCTATCCCTAATTACTCCAAGCATTAATTTAACGGGGGTAATTTAATCTCTGTCTCGCTTTAAATATCAGCCGACACTTTGAGAACTCGAAATGAGCGAATAACTATTTGACTTTATCGCGACTACTTCGTACAGATGGAAAAAAGCTCCCGTTAATCTGGATATAACGTTGAATATACGATTTCTTAAGTGGTATAACCCTTTTCATAGTTTTTCTTTTATACCGGCAGAAAGTTTCAACCAAGATGTTGTAAAAAGATTAAAGAAAGTTAAAGTAGGAATGGTGTGAATTCACTTTTTATTATACATAGATATATGTACACCTATATTCTAATTTCATGAAAGACAGTTAATTGAAATATCGTTAATATGTTTCCCAATGTTAACAATATGTTGTTTTTCTTATATAATTTTTTTTCCAATATAAGTTTATATTTATATAACATTTCTTTCTTATTTTTAATTATAGAATATACCAGTATTATTTTGCAGAATATGTACATCGAGTCACCTTGTATATTATTTAATTAATAGTTTTGCTATTTAATTTCACATATACATCAATGTATAAATCGTTAAATGTGATGTTTCGAAAGCATTTATCATAAATAAAACCACTTTTGACATGTTTATTCAAATATACAATATATTTTCTATAAAGAAAAATAGAGATTACAAGTATAATACAATGTATGTAAGTAGTACTATTACAAATTTTTCCCTCAACCGTTTATAAACATCGAATGAAGTAAGGATTAATATTATAAAAATAAGAAGTTTGTTCATTATATCTACGTTATCGTAATATATGTTATTCTAGTAAGCTTTTCATGGTCTTTAAGATTTTTTCTATCTAATTGTTTCTTCAATCATGGTTTTTTCGATTATATTTTTATTCCTTTAAAAAGTTTTTCTAATTTTGAGTTCTAATAAATCTGTATGTATGAACGATGAAAGCTGGCTCATTTTTTCATTCACTCAAATGTTTTATATTTATTAGTTTAAAAGCTACATTTAAAGATGATATAAAATATTTATTACCCTTAAAATTACATTGTTATTATTCTATCAAAATATAAATAATTGATTTATGAATCTATGGTGATTTTACTTTTGATTAAATTTAGCTATTACTTGACTGTTAAATGTACAAAAATGTACAGAGTATATGTATATGTATAATATGTAAAAATATCCAAGATATGTAGGATAAAATATATAAGATAGACGAAAGTAATGTAATATGTAAAAAGATATTCATGATATAGTATGTATAACATGTATGTACGGTATGTATAATCCACGGGAGAATTAACAACTTTTTTTAAAATCTCCGATTTTAATTGCCCCAAAATTAAAAGATTCAAAAAACAAAAGAAGAAAAAGATTGAATCCAAAATAATTCAATGACCTTAACAGGATTTAATTTTTCAAATCCCATTAGCACCTACAAGCGTCATATTTTATCTATTTTATAATACAGTGGAATCTCTGTAATTTGAATCTCTATAATCTGCGAACATTTACAAGGCTATAATTTAGTAGAAAATATGGTAAATCTAAGAATTTATTAGAAACATTTGAAAATTATTATTTCGTTTGAAATTCTGAATTGTAAGGAATTTATACATTTAATACTACATATGTATAATACTATCATTCTCGCTATGTATTCCGTTTCCATTTCTTTGGTAGTTGCATTATTAGGTTGTAACATCAACGAAAATGTCCGACTTCATCATAGCAACTTCCCAAACTTTTCTTTCCCTCAACAAATATTTTTGTTTCTATAGATCATTTTATATATTATTTCAAAAGAACGTAATTGCCGTTCAACATGTGTTCAACAATATCTAACGAATAATATCAATTCAAGAAAAATTGTTTATTCAACGAATATATACATATATTTATATACGCTTTTTATACAAAAATGATAACATAAGGATATCATGTAAAATGTAGCGCTATCGAACAGGATATTATTCTTTATAGAAACATACATAAAAAATAAAGAATAAAATTTGTTTAAACAAACTTTCGCTTCTTAGAAAATCCATCTTTATATCTACATTATTTATGCGTACAACATGTATATTGTATTATAATCTTACATAAATACAAAATTCTAATCAATTAATCATTTTTTCCTTGATACTTCTAAAAATTATATAGTCGAATCTAACTCGGATCCTCTATAATTCAAAAACCTTTACAGATCGAAATACATATAATCATACTTTACCTTGAATTATTTGTTACGCATTTAGGTATGATGTTTTACCTGTTTAACTCGAATTTAAGAAGCTTAACTTTTGCAAGTCAAAGTGCACGTCTATAAATCTGCTGTCTTTACAATTCGATAATAGGTAAGTACAGGTTGCGATGAAAAATCGTATTTCTTCACATATATCCTATACGACGTAAACTATAATTTATCTTTTTAAGTAAATAATTGGCCTTTAAAAGTTGAATTTGTCTTCCTAGAAACTCTACAATTCGGAAAATGTTAATCTTTGTAGAATTCCTCTATAAGCTGTTTTTGTTTGAAAAAATTTCTTTTGTTCCAAAAATTCGATAAATCAAAACCTCTTCAAAGTACCTTGAGATTCGAATTATTAAGGTCTGACTGTATTTTATATATATTTCAAAATAAATTCTTGAAGTTTGTTATCTTGCGACACTCAAGATAAAAATTACCGGAATTTTGAATTATAGGAATCGAAAGTTTAATTCGTTTTCATTTTTACCATCCGTACTTTTTCCCACTTTCTGTACGAAGCAAATGACCATTCATCTGACAGTCAAGCTGAATATTTGTGGACATTTTATTTTGCGCAGGAGTACTTACAATATCCTGGTCTCTCTGTTGCTCCATGTAGGCCGAGAACTCTACAAGCCTAAGCTTATGGGTTGCGATGGCACGTCCTTCCCAGGGCGGGGGTGGTTGAGCCTGGACCATGTCACCGCTCGAAACCGCTGTCGCTGGTTTTCCGGTATACGCCGGCTGCGAAAACGGTTTGACATCTTGTGACGTTCCTGGCTGCAGACCCGGTTGCCAGAATTGCTGAAAACAGGACATCTGCTTTTTTCCCTTTGTAACGCTGAACAAATTTACCAAGCGTCTCGCCATTCAAGCACTACGATGGTTACGGTTAGTATTAGCATATATTTATGTTTTTTTAATCACATAGATATTCACTTTTATTTTTACGATTATTTTTCTTTATTAAATAAAGGTCATATTACTCTAATTGATGAACTGTTTACGGGGAAAATTTTTGAATACGTCTTCACGATGTGATTTTATTTGCCTTTCTCATTTCTTAGTGAAACAGTAGTTTGTAAAATATAAGGTGAATACACTTAGGCTTGATGCAGACGAGCGATTTGCGTCAGCATTACCGCTGCGTCGCGCTGCGCCGTGTCGCTGCAATTTGCTGCTACTTTTTGGAACAGCATATATTTGTATGAAGCAGCTTACACGGGATGCAACTTTGAACAGCAACTATAGGCAGTGAGTTTGCCTCCAACCATACAGATGTTCGTGCTGCTTGGCCACGAACGAAATGCTGACACTCGACAGTATATTGCTTTATATTAATTTATATAACTCAATCTTTTTACACGAGCGGTTTGTGGCTATTATATTACTTTTTGCACTTAATTCATCAAAAGATTTTGGGGTCATATGAAAATAATTACAAAATTTTCCCTCATGTCAGTAATAAAGGAATGTATTCAATATTTTCTCCTTGTCATAGACTAATATAGTCTTAAACAACACATATAAAGAAAACGCAATTTCTAATAATTCTTAATAATGAATTACCGTATCCATGGATAAATTCTAACTAAACAAATATACAATCTGAAAGTAAACGCAAAATGCTGTGGCAAATTAACGCAAAACGCTCTTGTAAATTGAAAGAAAAATTGGACTCGTAAACGTTGTGGCAAATTGCTGCAACGCGTGACGCGTTGACGCAAACTGCTTGTCTGCACTAGATTTTATCATTTTTACTGCATTGTCTTCCATAATTATAAAACCACCCTAAACTTTTCAATTCTTGTATTTGAAATCATATTAAGGAACATTCCTTCAGAAAAGAACAGGTTATTGAAAATGCCTCGATTGAAATATGAAGCACTAGAACCAAAGAGATGCAAGTGCTACTTTTGACATTTTCGAATTAAGAACAGAAATAGTTAGTTAAATCGTTAAATATAATATTGTAAATAATTTAAATAATTCAACTAGAAAAATTATCTGTTAAACAAATAATATCGAAATAAGTTCGTATCAAAGGGATGCAAATAATTTATATTACGCATAAACTAAAAGATGCAATTCGTTAGAAATTTGTGTATACTATATATCAAGCATTAAATGTAATTTCATTTTCATGACCTTACGTGGAATTTTTTTAATAGCTTTGAATTTCAAACTCAACTTTTTCGATATACAAGGAAATGTCACTTGCATCCCTTTGGTTCTAGGTACCTCTACATATGAGTAGACTGCGGATTTTCCTGTCTATTCAGATGTTTATGAATATAATTAAGAAAATAAAATTTAGATAGAAAGTTGTCTTATTTAGTGAATATTATAGAAATTACTATATTCTGAACATTTTATGCATTTTTATAAATTATTTGCATTTTACATATTTCTCATAACAATATTAAAATCCGTAGTCTAAATATGACAAATACTTCCCATACCAATTGTATATATACTATATATTCCATGACTTCTTAATTTCACGAAACTAAAATAGCTTCGAACATGTTAGTTGTTGATCTTGAAAGAGAAAATGATGTATCTTCCAGTTTCTAATGCTGTATTGTGATGCTTTTGCATCTTTTGCAAGACTTTTGCAAGATAAATTTTACTATACGTATATTTAACATGTTCAACACGTTCAACTTTCTAGGAAAGTATTTTCGATCCGTGGATCATAACTCAAGCTTTATATATATAAAAAGTATTTCTTTCTAAATATTTTGAATTTTTGGTTACTTTTTGTATTTTACAATCTCATCGCAATATATTTAATATTAATTCATACATATAAATCTTTGATATACAAATGTTAAAATAAAATGAACACTGATGTGCAAATATATTTATGTATATATAAAAAAATTTCTGAACAGTTGTTGTCAACCAATAATGCATACTGTTTATTGGAAGCATATAGTGACGAGCGTGTAAATAAGAAACTTATTAATTGCAAATAAATGCTTACTAATTATAAATATTATGATGAGCTTTTTCTATGTTTTTCTAATAATACAGAATTTTTAAATATATTTCTTGTAGCTTTTAAAGTACTATACACGTATATGGAAATTTTTTAAATTCCTATTCTGAATAATAGCTACAAACTAAATCAACATTGGAACTACCACAGTAATCGAAATAATCAATCTTAATTGATAGGTTTACAACTGTACAGTTTTGAGAGTTTAAATGAACTTTTCTTCCTTGCATTAAGTATATATCTTTTCATGTATTTCACAATTCTTTTAGTACAAATCTTATTGGTTAGTCAGTTTTAAATTTGGCATAGCTTTCTCTATTTACATGCTCGCTAGCGTAACTTATGATCCACTAATTAGAAATATCAATTGAACATATCAAACAATGCAGTTTGTAGGTTCCGAAATGTAATAGCAGGAAGAGATTTCATTTTTCTTTGTAAGCCATCGAGCCCTTGGGTGAGCAGTCATCGTCACACTTTGCAATAGGGCACAGAAAAATTTATCAAAAGAAATGAACATAATACTAAATGCACGAAAAATTAAATTACAAAAAAATAAAAAAATATATGTATAAGAGAAACGTACGCGCATAACAATGAAGGATATAATATATAAATAGTAACTGTATTACGTGAAGAGAGAAAGACAGTTTGGTAAGACACAACGACGCCTCACAACAGGTAATTAATGTCCAAAAATTTCATATACAATATGCACACTCGTATATGTATGTGTATATATGCCCAGGTGATATACATACGTAAAAAAGATAGAGCAACGGACAAATTGAACAATACACAACAAGGGCCCCCAGGGGCGTAGCAGCAGAGAGCAAGGGGGTTCCATTTATATGAGGATGGTTAGTTCTTTTCGCACAAGCTTGAGAGAGAGAGAGAGAGAGAGAGAGAGAGAGAGAGAGAGAGAGAGAGAGAGAGAGCAGGAAGAATAATAAGGAGAGTAATCGAAGGTGGAGATGGTAATTTCAAAGTCGCGTAAATACTGTCCTCTTACAGTCCGCTAATATTACTGTCCTGTAATGTTCTTCTTTTTTTAAGTGACGATAGCAAGGCAAATGAGAAGAAGATTAGGAAGAACAGCAGCCGACTGGATAAGAGATAAAGATAGAAATTGTAATTGTGTACTTGTGTGTAGATGTATATGTAAAAATGAAAATTAAGGAACTAAAGAATTAAATTTAGAAAAAGTGAAGAGGTTATTTGCATCGTTTCTATAGAATTTCACTTTTTATACTTTTATCAAGCATGTTTTTTGAGAATCATCATACAATAAAATGAATTGTTATACAAATTTATATTTGAGGAACGAGATAAATTTGAAATAATGATTGGTCAAATCTTCCAGAGATAAAAGAAACAAAGTATGTTTTTGAATAAGCATTATTGTATGAATTGACAATAATTGATTAATAATAATTTCAGAGATGTTTGAACGGGTAATTCCTGGATATTGAAGCAGAAAGATCGGAGAACAAATACGAGAGTATTTTCTTCTATTATGTGTATGTACATGTCATCCACGAGATATTTAAAAAAAAGCAGGTGAAGTGAGTTTAAACAAAATCACACGTGTGTGATCGGTCTCTCGCAAGCGGATTAGAGACGGTTACAGGGCGAAGCGGTTAGAATGAAAAGAAAACAGATACGATGTCAAAGAAGAAGCCAAACTGATAGTGTATGTGATAGCAATTAAAGTTTACATCCTCAAGACGACGAGACACCGATCGTTCGTCCAACGAAAAATAAAAGCGATTACGAGGGGCAAGAGATGATCGAGAGATCGCGAGCGTCGTTGATCAGGAACACATTTTACTTTCTAAATCAACTTCCGTGTTACCTCTTTTCTATGTATACAAGTAATACATCTCCACCTTGAAAATTATGATTGACTTAACCATCGTAGTGATATAGATGAATAAATAGCCTGCGGATGTTTATGCATGGGCGGAAAATTTAAAAGTACATAATGTATAGCAGCATATAATTAATATATAAAATATTCGAAATAAATATTTAGAACATCTATCTTTCTTTTTACATTTACAAAGATATAAATTTGTACAAAAATCCGCAGTATAGTGATGATTAGTTTGCGAATGTTTATGCATTTATGAAAAATTCAGTGTTGCAAAAATACACAGAATGCACATAATATGCAAAAATATATAAAATATCCAAAGTATACTTTTGTATAGTATATCCTTGCTAAAAATTTCTGCTTAGTTTCCATTTCCTTAACTAAATTAATAAAACGCGAATTTGCATAAACATCCTCAGTTTAGTGCTAGTGTAAAAAAAGAAAAGAAATTTGTGGTTTTTAGTTGAATCTTTCTCTCTTTACGTATCGTGTCGAGCAAGCGTGTCTCGTCGTCTCACCCCAAAGCTCGTGGCTCCTTTTTTTACTTTTTTTCTCTGGAGTATTTTTCTGGTTGCGTAATATGTAAACAGAAAAAATAGACTGTTCAAACAGAAAAAAAATTTGTTCCAAGGGGTGCTCCGTGATCGGGACTTACCGCTCCGGGATAGGAGACAGGGGTGGAAGCATGAAGGGCAAGGGGCCCCACGAGGGCGGGGGGCATCTTGTTGTGTATCGCACTCCCAGCTGATACTATCTGGGCGCTCGACATGCTCGACATAGTCTGCAGCGCCTTCTCCTTGGCGGCATGATCCTAACAAATCGTCAAACCGATTACAACGCATTGCCGACTGTCGGTGAAATCTCAATGGTATGATAGTTCTTGTTTGTTTTCTTTTTTAGCGAATTATGAGTTTATTGTCTCTCCTGTTTCGTAAGACTTTTATATTAGTTTTAATAAAAGTTATCTATTATTTCTGATGGCTTGGTATTGCTTTTTAGTGCATTTGCTGGTACATTGATCAGTTAAGAGCAGGTATTTTTTGCAAATAGTGATATATTGATGTTTAATGCAACACATACATGAATCAAACGAAGCCCACTTCGTGGGCTTAAAGTGTCTATTAAATTACATTTACAATCTTCAATCCATGATAGTCTTTTGAATCAATACACGTATCATTCGAAAATATATGTATGCATTTATTTTTTATATACACATAGCAGTAACTACAAAATTTAATGAAATTAAAAAGAATTTTTTATTATGTAATGTATATATAATTTATATATATTTTATATAATATAATGTTATATAATTTAATAATATTAGTATACTTGTTGATTTTAATAAAAAATTATGTAAATCAAAATCTGTTTTTTCGTTACTACAATATATTAACATCTTTTTGTGCTTACAATTTACGATAGTTAAACTTTAGCATTCTGAACTTCTTCTTATATTTGTTTTATTTTTTGGTTATAGCGGTGGATTATACTTGCTATTGTTGTTTGATTGTTACTGGCGAATGTCTTGTCTTATTGATGATGGTTGTGATTAACCTTGCCTTATTTTAAACTTTTATAGGTATCTTTAACAATTTAATAACCTAGCTTAGATTATTTAATTGTAGAATACGTTTTTTAATTTATATTTTGTATTTTTCGTAATAAAAAACATCAATGGCATCTAAGGTGTAATATGTAAAATATAAATTAAACTTAAATATCCAGAAATTAAGTAACCTAATCTTAAATCCAATTCAAACTGTTCACATATCACCTAATGATACTAGTTAAAGGTTATCGTACCTATTAAATCGTTGCAGTAGTTATAATTCTGATGTAATAGAAAGTTTAATGTATTGAATAATAATATAAGCGGGCACGAAATAATTTTTTATAAAATCATTTATATAAAAAAAAAGTATAAAATAAAATTTTTTTTGTTCGGGGCTTAGTTTTCGTGAAATCTAATTCGAAAATTCATCCATATGGATAATTCATGCATATTGTATTTTTATTAGGTATTTATTAATGTATTTCGGAGAATAATTATAAAAATTAAAACATTTAACACAAATCTTTGGATAAAGTTACATTCGAAATTACAAAATCGTTAATTTTTCAACGCCAAAGAGTTAGCAGAACATTATCGATGCTTACATAAGATGTAGCGCTAACGTTTCTATTAATTTTACTATAATATTTTATATCTAAAGGAGTATGTAGACTTTTGTGACTGACTGTTTAATAATTGATTTGTATTCATTTAAATATGAACTGAGAAAATCACAAGATAAGGAGTTAAACTTGATTAAGGAGTTAACGATGATAATTGGTGGTGATAATCTTTTGCGAAGGAAATTTCCGGAGTGACTTGGTTCTGAAATCGACTTTGATTAGTTGCAAAAGCAAATACTTCTTAGAAAAAAAGTAAGTATTTAGAAAAGAATTTTTCAGATACTGTTTATTTTCTCGTGTTTAAATTTGTTTCGTTTAATTGGAATACTTAAAGCAAATATGTTATTGCTATTCTTTCAGAATAAACATATATATTGGTATTTTGGGAAGTTGCATTATACAATTTGTATATATTAATTGAACTATTTGTCGGATATTTCTCTTCTAATAATAACAGCATTTGAGTCTTCTAATTTGCTTCTACCAAAAATCTCACTTTTATGATTCAGTATTTTTACCACTGAATGATTTTTCTAAAGGGAACGGGACATTTAAGAATTGTGGATTTGGCGTGTTATAAAATCATTGAAAAATAATGTTTTTATATCTATCTCATTGTTTTATATAATGTCTTGTATACGTAATTATTTACATGAGGACAGACCTCATCGATTTTTATGACCTCGAAATATGTTGTTAAGATGGTCATTCTGAACAACTTTTCCCAATACATGTTATAAAGTTATAAAATTAATATCGCTCGACATTAATTTCCGAGATATTAACTTCAATTAACTGTAGTTCCCATTACACTTCATTCTTACACATAAATGGCCGCTTTTTTACACAGCCCAACCTAAACAATTTATTGATGTTAATCATCTTTAATAAAAATAAAAAAAGATAAATCAATGGGTTGTAGGATGATCTAGATTAATAATCGGCGCCGAGTCGTGCAGTGAGGCGGCCAATAACACTAGCATGATTTAATTTTTATTTTATTCGATTTTGTAAATTTATTGTTATCACTAGGTTGCATGTGGAGGATATGTATGTATACATTTTGTGTCCATTATTTTGATGAATTAAAGGTCAAAATAAAATACAATATTCCATATATCAATAAATTTATCGAAAATTATTTCACGCTAGCATTGTATACTACTCTAACCCAATCCATAATCCATTATTTTTTGGTTATTTTTCTCATCGATAGGTTGAACTATATAAAAATTCGGCCGTCTATTTCAGAATAAAATGTAATCGTAACATAGAAACCTAAATTCTATTGGAGTTTTCTGTGAACATCTAAGGAACTAAGGCCGATCGGTGGTAACACGTATATGGAAAAGTTGTTCGGAATGATGACCTTGGCAACATGTTCTAAGGTCACCAAAATAGATGAGATGTCTTCTAATATAAATCAGTTTTGTATATTTCTATCTAGAATTTTGTCTGTTGCCAAATGACTATATGTATAGAACATGCATATGTGTAGAATCCTGGATTATCGCGAAAAAGTAACATATGTATTGCATGTTCCGTTGGTTGCGTAGTACGATTTTTAAAGTATTTTAACATCCTAAATATAAGCATTGTAATATTGTAAATGTAAAAAAGACTCTGTGGTATTAGATATATTTGAATACTGGTAAAATACTAGAGATGCTACATTATGTTGCCGAATTACAATATTATGCATTTAAGGATTAAATTATATGTTTACTAAACAATTATAATTTGACAGAAAGATTGTACAACTTTGGTAACATTACGAATAACCGGAACCAAAGTTTCATTTTCTTACACATGCATATTTGCGTAACATTTTTAGGATATTTCCTATTCTTAATAAAATCTTAGTATTTAATGTTGACTATATATTTCAAATTGCACGTATGCCTTAGTATAATTGTTAATATATCGGTAGTTACATATAGCTTCTTTATCGTGCCAAGGATTAAATTAAATTGCATTACGACGCAAATCATCTATAATTTTGTTTAATTATGGAGTAAATATAACAACTGTTTTGAGACTCCTCAGCAGGTGTGTTTCAGTATCGAAAATTTCATTATTTATACACTGTTGGTTGGAGATATATATACAGAGCTTAAAATTAACGAAGTTCGTTGTAAAATTTGTGATGATTTATCATTCACATTTGGTTATGTTAGGCTTTTTTTCTGATCTTTCATGTATTATAAATATAATTTTATTACAAGAGAAGAAGAAATTTTCGGTAAATATTATGCAATTTTATGCTTTGATTGTTCGAGTGACAATATTAGTTATTCGGATGATGATAGTTCCACAGAATACAGTTCTGATTCAGATGATGAATAATAATGAATAGGATCAACAAGAAGACAAAAAATCAGAAAACCATAGTAATCGATCCTGATGTTGAAAATGGAAATGACATTCACGGCGTTGGAGAATGCTTCTTTGTTTTTACAGAAGAGTAGATTGAAAATCATATTTTATGAAAATTAGGATACACTACCTCGGCCACAGATGCAAAACTTTGCACAAATTTTACAGTCCACAATGTGTTAAAGCAAACTAAAAAAAGAAACAGAGTCTAAATTCACGAATAAATTGTCTATAAAAACCAAACATAATATAAAATAACAAACAACACTAATGAAATTACTAACACACACTACCAAAAAAAGAATATTCCATTAAAAAATTTAAAATTCCCATGAAAGATCGAAGATAGCTTCTATTTATTCCCTACTGTGTATCCACACAGATCAAACTGTGTAAAATTAAATCGATGAACGATTTCCCCTGGTTGCCTGCATAATTTCGTTCTCGCCGCTGAATTTCCAACCCCTTGCATCCCCATTCCCTCGCCCCCTTCGTTCTGTCGCTGTTTTAAGCCCGACCTGAGCGCGGTTGATGTCATCGATCGCTATCGAGTGAAACGGCAATGCAGTTGATTGCAGAAACAAGGCTGGTTTTGGGTCGCGAAATTCGCGGGAATTTTGTGCTTTTATCGGAAAGCCGTCGTTTTAATCAGCGCCACCCCCGCACTGTCGAAAATTGCTGACGAAGCGAACGCGAGAGCTTCGTTCCCGTGATATCCGGGAAATTGGCGTGTACCAACCCTTCCATGATCCCCTCTCACGTTCCTCCGCCCCTCAACCCGGTACAGGCCTTTTCAATTTCGTTCATAAATCCGTAATGGAAGAGCCATTACAAGCTCTGCCCATTCGAAATGAAGCGTGCCGCGTAACAATGCACAGCGATAAAGCCTTTCTTTTCGGTCAACGTGTACGGTGAAAAACTGTGAACTTTTGCCTGTTGCCTCTCTCTCTCTCTCTCTCTCTTTCTCTCCCTCTGTTATCTTCTATCCTTTTATATGTAGCAGGGGAACACCATTTTTGCGGAATCGGCTGCTGCATTGGTTCAGATTGAATTGTCGCTTCCTTTTATTGATTGATTTAGTTATTTGGTTGAGTTTTTGTTGTTATTTGTATTATAGTGAGATTTGGAGGGTCCAGTTGATTTGATAAGAATGATGCAGGCAGATGGTTTGAATTACAGCGAATAACGAAGGTATTCAAAGGTAGGTTATTTTTCTTGCTGATTCTTCGTATTCTTTCGGTTTTTCCATAAAAT